ATTCAATAAAAATTGCTACACATTACATCAAAGTACTAAGGGCCAAAGAAATAACATTTATTGTGAAAAGAGTTGAGAGGCTAATTGGACTAAATCTAGAAACCCAAAGCTGAAAAAGACTGCCTTTGTGGCCTACACAAAATTGGAGGAAAAATATCAGCAGGAAGAGTTTGCCCAGGCAAGTTTAGTTGAATTGTGTTTACAAGAGCGAAATGAAAAGGCTTATTTTGAAATGGATAGACCAGCAAGAACAACAACCAAGAGGAAATAATGCATAGATTGTACAGACGGGCCTGGTAGAATTGCATGGGCTATGAGCAGGGACAAATGGATCAGAAAGGGAAGCCAGTCCACAGCAGGTGGAGTCTTCTGACTTATTAAAGCAAGGAGCAGCAGGTACAAAACTTGAGGGATTGCTTCATGCTGAGGTTATGTAGAAGAACGTCACAACTATGAGACGCAGTGCTGAGACACATGTCCACATTCTGGGAAAGATCAGATCAGCTTTGTTTAGTGCAGTGGTCCTCGTAGTAACACTTTTTTTTAAATATCAGGCTTTAATAATTTATCATTATGAAGGTACAATATGCTTGATTTATGAAATAGCAAATTTTATAGTTATAAGAAGGGAAATGTAAATAACTCAGAGTGGGATCTGTAGGATTAAAAATTTATAGTCATGACCTCTATAGAAATCAATTACAAATGGAGATAAAAATATTCATAATTTTATGAGCCACAGAAATGAAAAAAAGATTCAATTAGCATTCGGACTTTTCAGAACTTTTCATGTATTAGGTAATGTATGTCTGTTTCATAGTAACACTTTGTCTTCAAGTAAACTGGCTTAATTTAAATAAGAGAGTTCTTGTTGCCTAAGCAATTTACATGCAATGTAACATTTTGTCCTTTTATATCAACCCTGAGAAATGGATAGTTATCTATAAAAGATGAAGAAAATGTGGCTTTCAGAAATCAAGTAATTAGCTTATTTTTGGCTTTGATCACATAATCTCAACATTGTGACATAATCCATGCTTCTACCTCCTTCAGCTCGCCTAGCGGATTTGCAATCAATATTCTCAGGCTCTTCAGCATTTAATGGGGATGTTCTAAGCTGCACACTGAAAGAATTTATGATTTGGACATTATACTGTATTTCTTTTTAGCAATGAGAGCATGTGTTGACGCAATGAATTTTGTTTATCGCTAAAACCTGGGTGTCATTCACAGGAACACTCAACAAATCAGTTCTCTCCCACATGCATGCATAAGTGAACATACATAATTTAGTTTTCTGAACCCAAGAGCAGAACTTGACACTTATCTATCCAAAGTGGAATCTTTTGGTTTCGTCACATTCTCCAGCCTAGAGACGTGTATCTGAATTCTGACTCTGTACACTCATCAGTAAGCCATCTACAGGGAATAAACATGTGATGCAATCAAAAAGGTATCTTCTGAGATCTTCAGGAGACAAAACTGATCACTTCAAAAGAATTCACAGGCCACCCATCTAAACCCCCAGACAACATAACACATTCTTTTGGAACAGACTTATAAGACTCCATCCCTTCTGGAGAGATGTTTTTGAAGAACTAAACACTTCCGAGAAACTCTCCAGAATAAGACTCAAAGAAAAATGCTAAGATCTCCCAATAATATAATACTTAAAATGAACAGTTGCGAAGAAAGCAAAATTCTTTCCTTTGAGAATACAGGAATTCCAAAGAATGATCCCATCTTCTAGACCTCCCCTTGGCTACTCAGACTTGAATCTAGCCTTCCAAGACCATTCCAAATGAGGAGGTTCCACCTCAAACATGCTCCTGACTGAATAACTACATTGCCTCTGTCACCTCAGACAAGATACCTGGTCTCTCTGAACGCATTTGTTGTTTAAAAGATCAGACAAGATAGGAAAGGGAGATGAAGGTGAAGACTATATCAGAGTTGATCATATAGCACATTCCCTGATGAACAGAAAGTCAAAGTGATTGGGGAGAGTGCACACACACACACACACACACACACACACACTTCTGCAGTGAGAAAGAAGCCTGATGTGGCAAGGATGAGAGGGCAAAGGAAAGGTAATACATTCACTAGAACTTGTTTATGAGCTGTAATCAGCAATTATTCTCACTGAAATGGGAAAGGAAGGCACAAGAATCTGCAATAGTTCATGGGAAGCTCATGTAAGCCACATGCCTCTTCCAGCTTCTCATGAGCAGTCAGCCTCTCTACTGCCTAGAACCATTCTTCACTGAGGCAAAGGTAGAATATTTTTTTCTTTATTCAGAATAAGAAGTCTGAAACTCATTGGACTAGCAATAAACTTGTAGGTTGAAAGTGCCTTGCTCCATGACTGGAGTCTACTAGTAGAGTTTGGCAAGAAGAAAAGACTCCTGTGGTGGTAGATGTCCACAAGCTAGAGTCTTGCTGCAGTGGTCAAGCCTTGAGCAGTCATGTTCACTGAGGCTTAGATCAAGAATGCAAATTACGACCCAACAGACTACCCCAGAAACCAACTTTGCTAATGTGCCTTTTCGTCCTAAAGAGAGATGACCTGCTCCCTCTCCTTGGTCTTCGTACTCCTGATGCACTGCTGTCTTTGTTAAGGAACTAAAGTCTAGACATACAACAACTATTTGAGTTGCATAACTTTTTTTAATCTTTTATTTATTTATGTATTTGGTACAGGGTCTCACTACACAGCTTAGATTCATAGTTCTCCTCCTATCTCATCTTCCCCATCACTGGGATTACAGGTGTGAGCCACTGGGCCTGATTTTGGGGCAAGCACAGTTTCCAAGGCTGGCATGGTATCGTTACCAGGGGTCGAACCCAAGTCACTGTGCTTGTCAGGCAGGCACTTAGACCACTGATCTCTCTCTCCAGCCTTGAATCACATAACTTTTTATAATGGTTCTGGGAATCAAATCCAGAGCCTTTCAAGATTAGGCATGCATTTTCTACCACTGCACTATATCCCCAGCCTTCCCATAACCCCTTTTTTATTTTATAAATGTGTTTTTAAGCTTATCTTACTAAGTGTAAAAATCATTTATAGGAAAATAGTAAATTAGGACAGCTGTGTGTGTGTGTGTGTGTGTGTGTGTGTGTGTGTAAAAACAGTTGTATGACTTAAACTAAAAGGTACATCAGAACAACTGCAGATGCCTACGCTTTGCATTGCTCTAACCCTGTTGGAGAATCAGCTCCAGATTTCATGTCACTGATAAATATAGCACTTAGAAAGCAAACCAAAAGTGGGGAATAAGGCTATTTAAGTGTGCATAATATTGGAGTAAACAATAATTTCAAAATTAATACAAAAATCTACATAAATACTGAAACCGTTATCTTTCATGTTCAGATATTTCATGTTCAGCAACTTGTGTTACAATCTTATTTTTAAAAAATGTTTACATTTCTGGGGATCGAACCACAGCAACCTGAGCCTGACTGCTTTGTTGAAGCAGGCACTTAAAGAGCTGAGCTAAGGGGCAAGCCCCCAAAGATGTTTACATTTCTAATACACTGGACATTGAAAGAAAACTGAAGAGCAGTAAAAACAATTTATACATAATTCTATCATCTTATTGGGTTAATTTTAATACTTTAACACAGATTCTACCAAAAAGAAAACCTGTATGCATAGTTCACAAAAAGAAAAATTTGGATAAGGTGCACATTCCCCAGATTTAGCATCTGTGGACTTTTGTCTATGGGAGACTTGAAAGATATCCTATATCACAGAAAAGCCACTATACTGCTGACCCTTAGACAAGAAACTGCAAATACATTGCAGCAATCTCCATGACCAAAGTTATACAAGCAGCACTTGGCCATACTAATAAATGTCTGGAAGGTAGAGGCCACCACTTGGAGCACCTCTTGTAACTGTAGGGACCAAAGGTAACTTGTGTTAATCTCATGATGTCTCAATAATTTAGTATTAAAATATATATATGAGTTTTTCTTTCTCTGAAGTGTGTGCATTTTTTTTGCAGATTCTGTATTGTAAACATAGAAAAATATAAAAGTAACATAACAAATACTTATATTTGAATCAAATTCCCCCTAAATGATAGCCAGCACCATTAAATTCAATGTATTTTTCCAAATTCACTTTCATTATCAAGTCAGTTTTTCATTATAAAAATTAAAATTGGGGGAGGCCAATGGCAGTAACATGCTCGAGATCCATCGTTCAGGTCTGGGTCATGTGTACCACGTGAGCTCCAGCAGCACGCCACCATGTAAAGAGTTTGTGCAGTGTATGCACTGAGCCCAAGCGCACTCCTCTGACCGCCCCCATGCCATAGCAAGTTCCAGCCATCTCCTGTGCCCAGTGATCCTGGTAACTGCCTAAGATTTAGCTTCTTTGGCCCAATAAATATTGCATGAGTTATTATATGCCAGATTTTTAAAAAATAAAACAAAAATTATAGCCCAAAATTACTTAACCCCAATATAAAAGAAAGACACCAGAATTTGACCACAATTCAGCTATGAAATATTTGTAGAAAAGCATTTCTGTTCTTACTTAAAAAGGACAAGACAGACAGTACCTTAGCTGGGTACCCATAATATTAAGCATGAATTTCATTTTCAAAAATAAACTTACTAAAGATTTTCCTTCAAGCAGGTTAGACCAGGTTTTGTTCTGTTTATTACTAAGGAGGCACTTTTGAATGAGGAGCAGAAAATAATATACCATAGTAAACATATTTCTTCCACCAAAGTGACTCAGTCTGTCCTCAGCCCATGGCATCAGACAAGGCAATCACCCAGAAAGAAACGCTAGAAAGCTAGCTCATGGCACGGGAACTCTGAATTTCAATCCCTTCATATAATGAATGGACAATCACAAAGAAACAGTGCCCGATGCCATAGCCACCCCCTGCTAACCAGATCGAAGATTTGGTGGGAGAACCCAGAAGCCACTGTGCTTTTAAAAACTTCAAAACTAAAAACATAAAGCCAAAACTTACCAGACAGGAGCAAGCAGAGTCCACAGAGAACTAAGCTAGCTAAAGAGTCCATGCTTTGCCAAATTTCTCCATCCAGCATCCACAGGCGTGCATGAGGCCCCAAGGATCCCTTCAGAAACCCAGAGCTTCGTGACTTTCCATTTGCATGTTCTACAGGCTCTTGTTTACAAGTCAGACACAAGAAAGAACAGCAACGAAGCAGGCTGTGGCAGTCTCATTTCTGTCTGAGCACAGGGAGTTTTAAGTTCCTTTTTCCTGTTTCCTTTGTAGATTAGGATGGGAAAGGCTGTATCTTAAAGGCATTTGGTATCAGCAGTTCTGGGGGCACTGCAAGCCTTGTCCATCTTGCAGTTTATCAAAACACTTATCTGCTGCTTCTGCTCCTGCGTTTGCAGCTGTTGTAGGGCTAGAGGGATTTTTGCTGGAAGTGTGGGTCCTGGTCAGCATTTTCAGAAACAATAGGGGTATCCTCTAATAGGCGGAGAGCTGAGAACAACAAGCCCTCCACCTCTGTATGGTATGCGACGAGGACCAGCCCTCTGATGGCTCTCTGGGGTCCACTTGGGAGCCCCTAACAGAAGGGGGTTTGGGGTGTGGGGAGCAGGTTTTGCTTTTGTTTTCTCCTTATAACCCACGTGGTGTGAACTGGGAAAAGAAGTTTTCCGTGATGAGAAAACACAACCTGGCAATTAATTTGACTGAGAATCAATGAGGTCAGTGCCCTGCATAATCACAAAAGACTACAGTCCCACGTTGTAAGCCTGTTTTCTTTCACACACATCGCCTATTCATTGGCCAGGAGCCCAAAGATAGTCATGCATTTGGTTGTAACTTTAATTTCTATGAACAGTTCATCTGAAGGTGATCCAATCTATTGAAGTACTAGGCATAAAGAGATTCTAATAATGTGGATAATTTCAGGATTCTTGTGCAGCTTGGTGGCATGTGAATGTAATCCCAGCACTCTGGAGGCTGAGACAGGATTGCCACAAACTCAAGGTCAGCCTGGATTACATAGCAAGAACTTGTCTCCAAAAATTAAAAAAAAAAAAATCCATAGCTATTGTCCAATAGTGTTTTGGAAGCATATTATGTACAAGTTTTTTAAAACATCTGTGTAGAAAACAAATGAAAGTGATTAGATTAAAATAAAAATAGTGTCTGTAGAGAAAGTCTGAGGGCCAAAGGAAAAGAGCTGCTGGAGTAATGGTATCTCACATAAGCACGGGAACCCCAAACTTTATGAAATATAAGATGAGCATGCATTTTTTAGAAATGTATTTAGTACAGGGTCTCACCACGCAGCTTGTGATGCTCCTGTTTTCAGCCTCCCCAGTGCTAGGATTACAGGCATGCGCCACTTACACTGATCTCAGGATCGGGTTCAGCACGCCCAGGGGCAGGGCCAGCACAGCATGTGGTGCTGGGGATCGAACCCCACTCCCTGCACTTACCTAAGCAGGCGCTAAGTCTGCTGATCTATCTCACCGGCCCTCTACGCTTACAGAAATGATCATGTTTTCACAGTATGAGTTGGGACTTTAGAATACCATGTTTACTTCCTGCTCTCATCCCTGAGGAAATAATATTTCAGTCCTTTCCCTCCCACCACAAGAAAAATCAAAGGCTGTAATCGTAACTAATTTCTGCCCACGTCTCATCAGATCAGGGGTGCTTATTAAGGTGCCCGGCTGTGGGGGGGGACGCGCCCCACTGTTTACTTCAAGCTCGGCTGACCCACAGTCAGATGCATGCTGGCTTCCCCACCTGGGGACTAGTATTTGAAACAAGTTATGTAATCACCTTAAGCCCAGTTTCAACAGCTATCCAATGACAGTATGCCTCCTTGGGTTTTTTGCCTTTGTTTTTGTTTTTGTTTTTTTCTTTTTCTTGGGTTTTTGAGAGAATTCAATGAGGTTTAAAAATATATAAAAATAGTCTCGTTTTCACTATTTTCTTTTTTGGTAACGGGAACCGAACTCGGGGACTCGCGCTTGCTAGGCAGGCGCTTCGCCACCGAGCCACATCCCCGGCCCCGAGCCACATCCCCGGCCCAATAGTCTCGTTTTGATTATTGAAACTATCCTACTAATCGGTTTTGAAACTGTCTCATTGCTATTTGTTTCTCAATAAAATTAATTTTTAAAAAATAGTCTCATTAGTGTGAGAAATTGAGAGAGCAAAATACGATCCAATATGTACAAAAATATTGTGACTAAGGAAGAAATTGTCCAAAGGAAAAGAAAAACTGATGGGAGAAAGGGAAAAGAAAAAATACACACACACACACACACACACACACACACACACGGCAATTAAGATAGTCATACAGCTAGTTTCTCTTATTTCACTGATAGAAAGTTTTGTGTTAATACTTTTCTGGACAATATTCTATTCCTATATCTTATACTCTGAACAACCCTGTGAATATAATATTCAATGTATTAATTATTATTACTGTACTCTCCTAACTAGCCTGTTTTGAAACTGTTTTACTGGGCTTTTTTTTTACTTTTTTGTTTAAAATTTTAGAAATATGTAAAAATGCTTGGCGCTGTGCCTAATTCATTGAAGGTTTTCATTAGATGCTAATAACTTTATTTCTTTTCATTTCTCCATTCTGTGTTTGATTTAGGTCCCAAGAGTTTCTGCCAGAAAGCTATGATATGATTTTAAATATGTCACTGAAAAGGAACAGCCTTGTGTCAGGCATCAAGTCCTAGTCCCAGCAATGTCACAATATTACAGGCAAGCCTTAAGCAAATCACTCTCTGCATCTAGTATTGTTTCTCCAATTTAAAACAAAGTGTTGGGCCAGCCTGATAGCTCATCGGACTAAAGCACCTGCTTAGGCAGAGCACAGTGGCCGGGGTTCGATCTTGGGCATGCTGTGCTGGCCCCGCCCCGGGGTGGTGGAGACTGGGCATGCTGGCGCACACCTGTAATTCCAGAGCTTGGAAGTCTGAAAACAGGAGAATCACTATGAGTCCGATCTACTCAGTAAAACCCTGTAGACCTTGTAGACCAAAAGAAGAAGAAGAAGTATTTATGAGGCAGGAGATTACAGCCAGAGGGCCAGGCAAATGGGCATGACTTGTCAATCATGGAGCTAGGTCAGGTGCATAGGAAAATTATTCACAGGTCCTGCACCAGGGAACAATCAAAAAGCATTCTCTTCAGTTCTGGTTCAAAAATCAAACAGATTTTCAATAGGACAGCCTAAATCAGACATCAGCCTGACAATGGGGAATGAAAAAGACTTCTACCAGACTGGCGAGATAGCCCAGCGTATTAAAGCTCTTGCTTAGGCAGATGCCAGGTTTGATTCCCAGCATGCCGTGCTGGCCCCACCCATGGGGCATGCTGTGACAGCGATGGGCGTGGTGGTGCACACCTGTAATCCCAGTGCTTGTAAGATGGAAAACAGGAGAATCACTATGAGTCTGAGCTGAGTAGTGAGACCCTGTAGACTCTGTCCTAAGTACATTAATAAATAAATAAAGAAAATAAAAAAAGAAAAGACTTCTACCATTAGCCTCATGTAAAACATATCTAGAATGCAAAGAGAACGGAATGGACTCAACCATGCTGGCTAATGGAAGGAGGAAGAACTTGTGTAACATTTCCAGCTAGCAATACAACTTTCTGAAAGAACTGGGGAAAAGAAAAAACTGAACTGCTTTTCTGGATAACAAAGGAAGTCAGCCCAGAGAAGACTGCAAGGTAGCACCCTTAGCCCACAAGGAACAGTTAGCAGGAGGGTATGTGAGTGATGGTTACTTGCATGGTCATCAAGCATAGAGGAAGTTTGTGCCCAGGGAGGGAGGTGTCTGGAGTCTGTATCCACGGCCTTTCAAGTCTGTGCTATATGGCTTGGGGCCAGTGGACCTCACAAAGCCTCAGTTGTGTTATTCTTAACAGTGAGCACCTCTCTAACCTTCCCAGGCTTCTACAGTGGCACAGACATGAAGCTTACATTTTCTTTGAACTACCCAGAAGAAAGGGTCTTAGAAATTAACTTAGGGATGTTTTCTGGTATAAGTGCATTCTCCACTATCTAGAAGAGGAATGTGACTTAATTTCATATTCCAGGATCCATAAAGATTAACCCATCTTGTAACTGGAGCTGCAAAGTGGAACTTTAAAAGTTAGATTTTAATTTTCCTTTAAAGTGATTCCTCTAACCTTCCTCAGTGCTAGGACATAAATAGCTCCCCTACCCATTTCACTGGAGAGTAGATATACAGACCCTGAGAGCACGAGGTCAGGCAGTACAGCAGGCTTTAAAACACTCACTGGATTAAAGCATGCCAAATCCAAATAAACCTTTGCCTAAAGGAGTTAAGCAAAGAGATGATGGACCAACAAGATAACTCAGTGGTCTAAAGTGCCTGCTTAGGCAAACTTAGACAGTGCAGGGATACAGGGATCAGGGTTCAATCCCCAGCACTACATGTGGCACCAGCCCCACCCCAGGGTGGGCTGAGCTGGGAGAGAGAGAGAGAGAGAGAGAGAGAGAGAGAGAGAGAGAGAGAGAGAGAGAGATCATCCACTGTTCACTGTCTACAGTCCTTTGCTGTGCTGTGGACACTGAGCCTCCAGAGGTGTCACATCTGGGTTCTTCAGGACTTCCATGAAATTTTTTATAAACCTGTTGTACTGAACAGTGACTAGCAGAAAAGGAAGGGTCATCAACAATTAAGTCTGGGCATTCATCCAGGATACCACAATTAAAGTGCAACACCCACTCTGGTCTGGAGTGGATGACTGTGGAAAATACCTGACCCTCTCCAAACCCCCTTTACACTAATCCATCTCAGTGATTCACTGTTCCTTTCTCCTTTTTAATTTAAAACATCTAAATGGCAAGCACTCCACTAACTGGTGCAGGAAGAGACCCAATAATTAGGATGTGGTATCTGCTTTTTAAGCTCACAATTATACAAACCCAGAAACAATGCATCAAAACATGAAAAATTAAATAACAAAATGAGACAATGTACAGCTGAATGTCAAAAGGTAGTACAGGGAGTAAAAGTATTAACAGTCTTTTGCTTTGGTATCCTTTAGGCTATAAAGAATTAGTCCCCAAATCTTTATTCATCTCCAGTATTTCCTTGGCACAAATAGTACCTTTCCAGAGAACATGTGAGCTCCTAAAACACGGGCTTTCTACTTTACATTGAGGAATACTGTGCTCCAAAGGGAAAGAGGAGGCCTCCACCACCACTATGAGACAAAAATAAAGAAGAAAAAACTCCTATTCATTTTCAAAATACCATTCCATGAAAACTTTCTGTAGTAAGTAGTGATTAATACCTAACAAATTAGCAGAGTAATACAACCAATCATTTAAGTCTCTCTTGATTCTGTAGTCAACAGTGCAAGTTCCCCGGACTGTTGTGATTGCAGCTGGCCTCCCCCACGTATCCACAGTCAAATGCCAGTATTGAGGTAACTCAATTGCATGCAGAGGCTGACTAGATGGCATCAGGATTGACAAAGCTACCAATCTTTTCTCCAACTAGT